TAAAACAAAATAACGAACAGAGAGGTAGAAACTCCCTACAATCCAAAGGAAACAAGCAAACAGGCAATTATCACAATTTACTGTCACGCCGGTCGTCCGCACAGCCCTCCCTTCCCTGAGAGGGGGAGGGGGGCCCCCTGGGCCTCACCATGCCGGCTGCCTTCAGTTCGTAAGCTAGTGTCAACCGGGATAGACGCTTCTCTGGCCTCAAATTCCTGGGCGGTGTTTGCCTTGTCTGGCATTCTCTACTGTCTTTGTGTGGTGGCCCAGGAGTACCTCATCAGTACTGGGGCTGCATGCGCTTAGGGGCTTCCTTCCCTGGGCGCCCTGTGAGTACTGCCCCTGCGTGTCAGGGGTTATCATCCCTGGGGCGTTCGGGAACCGCTCCCGTAGGGGTTCTTGCTGCTCGGTATTTGCCTCGCCCTTGGGGCCAGCTGCGGGCTTGGGGCCCTTGTTTGGCCTTGGGTAGGGAGTGGTGGTGTGCTGGTTAGGGCATCAAGGTGTTGTGTGACCTGCCACTTAAGCTGCGACCGGTTCCTGTTGCTTTGGGGACGGTGTACTTTTGTGGGGTTTTTCTTTTGTTTTGTTTTTGTTTGCCTGGTGGAGGGTTGCCTCGTAGGCCTATAGTTTCCCTGATACTGTTTTGGTGGCCCTCTGTTAGGCCCCCGTGCTTGTACACATCCCAGGGGTTTCAGTCTTATCATCTACTCCTTGTTTTGTTTGGGTTTTTTAACCGGTTAACAACACCTTGCCCGGGCGTCCCGTAGTTGTTACCATACGGGCCCTGGAAACCCCTGTCAGGGCTCGGTGGACCCATGGATGCGTCTCCCAAGTTCCAGCCTGCCTTGTGCGGGTTTGAAGGTTGCAGTGTGCCCTTTTCTTAGGGTGACAGTCACCTGTTTTGCCTCCGTCATGCTGCCTGTTGGGTCAACGACACCTTTGACCCGGAGTCTTGCGAGTCATGTTCTCTGCTTGTGCTCCAGTTTTACTCTGAGGATGTTCCTGTTAGGGTACAGCCATCATCAGCGTTGCATGTTAGGTTTATATTACTGCAACGCACTAGGTTGGTTTCCCACCCGGATGCCCTGAGGCTGTCCTGTTCTGGTTTCATGGACCCGGACCTGGGGGCGTTAGTTGCTTCGGGTTTGGCTCCTTCCTCGCTCTCTGGTTCTTCCCCTGTGGTTCATCCTGCACCTCCCCCCTATGTCTGGCTCCAAAACGTCTTGAGAGTTTCGGCCTCGGCACAGGGTTTAGTTGGTAATGAGGCTCGGGCTGCCTTGGGGGCTGCCCCATTCGGGTCGGGAACGGAGGCATTTGAGCCGGTTCCTGCCAAGGAGAGGTGGGGTCCTCCTGCTGAACCCCACCAGCAGGTCCCATCTGCTGGTGGGACCTCTGGGTCCCACCAGAGGGTGGTGGCGTGGTGATCACCCTGCTCGATGTTTGGGTTCTCATAAGGGGCGTTGGCCCTTTCGCGGTTCGCCTCATTGACGGGACGATGGGGGCAAGGCTCGCTCTGTTTGCACACACTTGGTCCCACGATTTGTGGTCCTTTTCGGTCGTGTCATCCGGCCTGCGGTGGCATTGGGTGACCTGTCCTCCTTTGGGGGGTTCGGGACTAACAGGGCAGGTTTCTTCTGCGCTTCGTCAAGTCGTCTTGAAGTGGGTGCGCTTGGGCATAGTCGAAATGACTCTGTCCCTCAGGTGGGTTTCCTGTCTGTTTCCAGTGCCGAAACGGGACTGTGCAGATCTGAGGTTCATTCTGGACTTGTCCCGTCTGAACCCCTGGATTTCTTGCCCCTCCTTTCGGATGACTGCTCTGTCTCGGATCCGGCTTCTGTTGGAGCCGGGTGCCTGGATGGTGTCCCTGGACCTCAAGGATGCTTATTGGCATGTTCCTATTCATCCGGGGTTCAGGGACTGGTTAGGTTTCGTGGTGGGGCGTCACACTTACTGCTTTCGCTGCCTACCTTTTGGCTTGAATCTGGCACCTCACATTTTCACGCGTCTGACCCGGGTTGCGGTGACCCGTCTGTGTCTTCTAGGGATTCGGGTTTTGGCCTACCTCGACGACTGGCTGGTGTGGGCTCTTAGTCGGTCAGCTTGTCTGCTCGCCAAGGATATGGTTCTTTCCCAGCTTGTCAGGTTCAGGTTCCTGGTTAACTGGAGGAAGTCCCATCTGGTTCCATGCCAGGTTCGGACCTGGCTGGGTCTTGTTTGGGATTCTCGGACCGCTTCCTTATCTCTCCCTCCAGAGGCGTTGCTGCGGCTGCGGTCCCGCCGTCGGCTCTTTCTGAGGGGGTCCCGGGTCACTCGACGATTGCTCGAGAGGTTGTGCAGGAGTCTAAACTTCGTCGTGCTAGTCTACCCGCCTGGTCAGGTTTGGCTTCGGCGACTGTTTTGGTTCCTTCAGGGACGTCCCTTCTGCCTCTCTCGCGATCATTGGGTTCGTCCTCCAGGGGCCTTGTGTTGGTTGCTGCGTCACCTGCTTCCTCTTCGGGGTTTTTTGGGGTTCGGTGTCTTGGCGCCTTTCCGAGCCTTCGCTTGATGTGTTCACGGACGCGTCGTCTCTCAGCTGGGGCTTTGTGACCAGTGCTCACCAGGCTGGCCAGGGACGGTGGGGTCCGTCCTTCCGTCGGGCTCACAGCACAGCTCGGGAGTTCGCGGCAATCTGGTTCGCGCTTCGGAGGGTTCGGGTCGCTCGGGGATCGACCATTCGCCTCCATTCGGACTGCTCTCCAATGGTTCATTGCCTGAACCGCAGGGTTTCTCTTCGATTCTTGGCTCTTTGGGGTTGGTCCCTTCGAGTGGTTCGTCTGCTGAATTCTCGGGGTTTGGCTCTCTGTGCGGTTTATGTCCGGGGAGTGTCCAACGTCCTGGCGCACAGCCTGTCTCGCTTCATTCCCCTATCCACGGAATGGACAGTCAACGACGACTAGTTTCCTCGGATCTGCCAGACGTACGGTTTCCCAGACGTGGACCTCTTCATGTCGGCGTGGTCTCGGCATCTCCCAATCTATGTGACGCTCTTCCCCGACTGCGAGACATTCGCTGTGGATGCCTTTCGGCAGGACTGGTCAAGGTGGGGTTACCTGTACCTCTTCCCCCTGGTCCAGCTGTTGCTTCGGGTTCTGGTTCGGTTGGAGACCTTCCCGGGGAGAGTAGTCCTTGTGGCCCCTTGGTGGCCGGCCCAACCTTGGTTTCCAGCGCTATTGGCTCGGTGTCCGAACCCAGGGCGTTTCCCGCGGCTCCGACTCTTTCAGCAGGTTGGCCCAGTCTGGTACGGGGCTGGTTCGACCTTCTCCTCTGCTCTTCACGTCTGGTCATTTTGATGCGGGTGTATCACCATTTCTATGATGATCAGGTGGCTTTGTTGATGGTGTCCCACCTGAGAGCTTTGTCTCTGCGATAGTATGAAGTTTCCTAGTGTTCTTTTCGCCATTTTCTTGCTCTTCGTAGGTTGTCTTAGCTTTTGGATCGGATTGTCTTGTGGTTTCTTGACCTTTTTCAGAACCGTCATTTGATGCCTATTACTGTCGCCTCATATCGTGCGGCACTGGTGGAGCCGCTCAAGCTAGTGTTCGGGGTGGATGTCACATCTGCTCCATTCCATAAGCTTTCTCGTGCTATATTTCATCTCCGGCCTGCTCATGTGCCGCCTGAGCCGCCCTGGTCCTTGGACAGGGTGCTCTCCTATCTTTCCTCTCCTCGGTTTGTGGTTTGTGGTGGCCCCTTCGGTTCCAGATTGTTTTTCCAAGGCTTTGTTTTTGTTGGCATTGGCCTCTGGGGGCCGGGTAGGGGAGCTTCATGCTCTCCTTTGGTGCGGGGTTTCTGCTCTTTTGGTCCTGGGGGGTAGGTTTGTCCGTTTGCAGCCTTCTCCATCTTTTCTGGCGAAGAACGAGACTGCTGCTTTTCGGAGGGGTCCGTGGGTCATTGATGCTTGGTTGGTTCGGCTGGGGGTGCATCATGTGATGTGTCCAGTTGCGGCTCTTCGCCGTTACCTGCGCTTCAGGTGAAGTGGCTGGGGGTGCACTTTGGGGTGATCCGGTTTCCCTCGTTCCCTGTTCCAGGGCTCGGTCTATCAGGTTGTCCGCAGGGTTATTAAGTCTAGCCAGCCTGCGGTCTATCCTCACGCCCATGACGTTTGGAAGTTTGCAGATTTGGCTGCCTTGTTTGATAACATGTTTTGGGCTCATATTCGGGCGCGTGGATTTTGGAAGTCGAACAGGGTCCTGGCCGCCCGTTATTTGGTGAACGTACCTGCTCCTCGGCGTTCTTGTGTTGCTTTGGGTCGCAGGTTGCAGCCAGTTGTCTCGACTTCGCATTGAGGAATTTGTGGTTGCTGCCTCCCAGGTAAGTCCCTATTTTCCTTCTCTTTGGGTATGTAGCTCTAGGGAGCTGTAGGGGCTTCCCACAGAAAACCAGCGTTGAATGTAATGAAACGCCATTTTTTGGGTGAGCCCGGAGGCTCCTTGGCTACCCCCCCTCCCATCCAGTCGGCGTTTTTTTCGCGTTGGTTGAAGCCTAGTTTCCGAACTGAAGGCAGCCGGCGCGGTGAGGTCCGGGCCCCCCCCCTTCCCCTCTCGGGGAGGAGAGGGCTGCGTGGACGACTGGCGCGGCAGTAAATTGTGATAATTGCTTGTTTACTTGTTTCCTTGGGATTGTAGGGAGTTTCTACCTCTCTGTTCAGTTTTTTGTTTTAGTTTCTTACCATGTGGGGGTTTGTTATGTTATGCCTACCTTTCTGGATGCCTAACCCTGGTCGATGGCAGATAAGGAAAACCCCCAACCACAGTGGGGTTATCCAGGGCCATTGCTCCCTGAAACCTCTCTGAAGGGGACAGGTTCTGGCGCTGGTTCCTGGTAGGTCTGAACTCCATAGCTAATGACCAGTCTAACATAACATACATTAGCCTTATAAGCTCCAGGGAGCCTCCAGGGCTCACCCAGAAACTGGCGTTTCATTACATTCAACGCTGTTTTTTTTTTTTGCATGTTGTCAGCATCAGCAGCACTTGCAGTATCAGATATCCCATGGATGGGACCAGTTGGATCAGTGCGCATGGGATTAGTTGATGGAGAAGTAATTATTCAACCAACTCGACGAGAATTGTCCAAGAGTTCACTCAATCTTGTTGTGAGTGGAGCTGAAAATAAGCTTATAGGTAAGTTTCAGTGTTAAACTTTTGTTAATTTAATTTATTTATTAACATAATTTTTTTTAATTTAGATAATAAATAAGAGCAAATATTTATGTGTACAGTAGATTCAATAATATTCCATATTTGCATTCATATGAAATTTGTATTTCTCAAACACTCCCTTTGTTTATTTATGTATCGCCAAATTTCAGTATCTTGATTTTTCATATCAAACTCAAAATTAAAATGAGTCACAGAGTTTGTTTTAATTGTGCTTAATGGGTTTGCTATTACATTAGCTATTTCTACCAATGTTGTACCCCACCTGCAAAATTTGAAAGAATTGCAATATGAGTAATATTAACACTTTCGCGCTACCTGGACGCGCCGGCGCGTTCGGTTTCGTCTAACGTAAACGCATAGTGGACATAAAGTTATGTCTACTTTTAAAATATTTGTATAAAATTCAATTTTAATCCGATTTCATTGGGGTTTGTTTCAAACGACGCGCCATGAAGTTCTCTTTCTCACCACTAGACCACCAGGCGCGTCGGCCTGCCCGGTCACGTGACGGGCCCATTGTTTTCGTGTCACGTGTCGTGAGTCGATCACGCTCCCCTCGCGCGCCAAACTCGAGCATTTTTACCCGTTTCCGTGTGGATTATACCCAATTACTTCATCAAAAATGGATCAAGGTCAAGGCCCAAGCACTTCTACAAGCACTCAAGAAACATTGAGAGAACTTGGGGTGTACACATGTGGCACAATTAGAATGCTACGTGGCGCCCCAAAGGTATTGCAAGCTCTAGCCAAGGGTAAACTTCTACTGGATACCACAGTATACCGCCGCAAAGATAATACCTTCATTCTCCTGTGGAAAGACAAGCGAGTGGTTTCAATCATTACCAACATCCACAATGCAGACACTCAGCGAGTTCAGCGAAGGAAGCGAATTCGCAACCGAGACGGAACAAGTGGAATACAACAGGTAACAGTGAACAAACCGACTGCAATTTGCGAGTACAATAAGTTCATGAAAGGTGTGGACCACTTCGATCAAATGGTTAAATATTACCATTTTACCAGGAAAACTCACAAGTGGACCAAAAAGATTACCTTTTATTTCCTGCAAATGGCATTGCATAATGCCTATGTTTTGTACAAATACAACACAACTGATCGAAAAAAGCTAACATTGCTACAGTTCCACGAAGTGGCAATCTGGGCCCTATTGCACTGGGACACAGAGGAGTGGCCTAAAACAACATCATCATCTCAACACTTGCGGCACGCTCCAGACATAAATGATGACACAGCTCCTGCCAATGCTGACGCCATGCCAACTCCCGGACCATCTGGTGTGAGGCGGCCTTTGTTCACTACACCACCTCAAGATGAAGCAGACAACGAATCTGAACCCGACATGTCTGCCACACTGCCAGTTGACGAAACTGTTTTGTCAGATGAATCTGACTCTCCTGCAACTCCTGTTACACCTCCAGCGAGAGGACCTGGCCGCCCTATTGTTGATTCAGAAAATCGCATGAACTACAAACTGAAACATGAAATTTAAAGACTACCCAAACGTCTCAAGTGTCATGCATGTGCACGGTCCAGTAAAAGGAAGGACATGAACTATGGATGCAAGACCTGTGGTGTTGCACTCTGTGTTGTTCCCTGCTACACCAATTACCACCGGAAACAGGTGTATTGGGTGGTGAAGAAGTAACCACCCGCAACAGCTTCACTCCACCTACAAACCATCTGTTGAGCAACTTCAGGAATGAAGAACCTGAAGAAGGTGGAGAGAAGAACAAATGCTCAACTTACTGTTCCACAACCAGCCTTCCCTTGGTAAGTACACCTATTTGGTCCAAGTTTGTGTAGTATAATTTAGCTCATAGAACATTCTATTGCGAAAACATTGCCACAAAAATGAATGACATACATACAATAATAATATCAGAACAGTGAAATAAGTATAAACTTTCAAAGCAACGTTTCGCGCGTGTGTCGTCAGGTCACCGTTACCGGGTAACAGTGCGCCCACTTCCCACACTCTTGCGGGTGGGCCGGGACCATTATTCTATGATTATATTCATATCATCGTGTTGGGAATTTTATTGGGAGTCCATTGATACCAAAATTAAGGCTGTAGGACAATTGTAGAGGTGATAATAATCCCAAGAGTAAAAACATTTTGTTGCTGTTGAGCGCTCACGGCGACTCATCTTCGTAGTTATTTATTTCATGCTGGTATCTCTATAGCTTTTGTGACTTTTTTTACTGATGTTCTTCTAGAGAATTTTATTGCGAACACGTTGGTACCAAAATGAAATACGTAGCATGAAAACTAAGGTCAGAAAAGTAAAAAGAGTATACACATTTTTGTTTTTACGCTTAAGCGATAAAAACGCCGCGCGCACATACGGTTGGCTGAGTGACCTTCGCCGAGAGCACGAAAGTGTTAAAGGAATTGTTATTCATACCTATCTGTAAAGATATTTTGATTATTTCCTAGCCCCAACCACTGAATCTTATTTCTGGGAGGGCTCCCTCAGTAGTTCCCCAAGCATAAGCATTTGTACAGCTTTACTTAGCCTTAGGAAATTATACCAGGCATCTGAAACCCTCCCTGACCTACTGGGAGCCAGAATGTCTTTATTTATGTAAGGTTAGGTAAGCCTTCCATAAAGAGGATCAGAGAGTTTTGCAAAATGAAGAAAAAATCTACTGGAATGGCTTGGCTCTATAAAACAAGCAATTGCTTGAAGGAACTTAATAACCCAGAGATAAATAAGGTAAACAATCATTGTCATTGTGAAACTACCCTACTGTGATGTGTCTAACTTCTACCAGATGGTGGCCAAGGTTATCTCGTGTTCCAGCTAGCCATGCAACTCACTGAATCATTTGGTATACACCTTTATGCACTGGCTCTTTCAGAACATACCCTCTATACTTAATGCTGATTGGTGCTGGCCAGCCATAGAATGTGTCACGGTGTGTGATTAACCACTGAGATGCGCCGAGTTTATTGTGACATTCCCCCTGTGTACATGAAATCAAGTGTTCCGATAAAAATCTCTTTTGTTTGTAAAAGGAAAATTCCCTTCCCTGGACATGTCTATGTAAAAATAAATACCAAATTCCACTTACTTTGGCTGTGGGGACGTGGACAAGGTGCGCTGTGACGTCATCACAGGGTGGTCGCCCGGGCGTGAAGCTCCCAGAGGCACACAGTAATCTCAATAGTGTGATTCATCAAATGAACAAATCCACAAGGGCCGTGATGAGGGTTCGAACTTACGCCCAGGATGATCCCAGACGCTGCCTGCCAGAGGCGGGCGTATGGGAAATTCAGGCACCACGAGTTGTCACAAATATATTTTAAATTATTTGTTCTATGTATTTCCAATGTGGTTTTATTTGTATTTTATCATATATGAAGCATATTTATGTCCTTTACAATTTGTATACAGTAGAACGTTCATAATGTTCCATGGAACTCTGATTCATGTGTCAGTAATGTGTCCACAATAAATGTTTATTGTTGCAATATTACCTGTTAAAAATTCATTAAATTTACAATATGTACAGTTTCACACACTATACAGTAACACACTGTATTACACACTCACTACTTTGGAAGTGAGTAATAATCAACAAAGTAGTCCATGGTGCACACCGCGAATTTGCTCTCGTTACACCAAGTACAGATAGATTTTTGCTTCCTGTTTTTTCGTTCTGTGTGCTTGCAAATAGCGCACTCACGTCCACCCTTGGCTTTAGTACATGTAGGTGGTATGTAGCCAAGCTTGTAAAGCATAAGGTAGTCCTGAAAAGATTATAGGAAAAAATCAATTAGTAAGGTAGTCGGTGTTTGAGGTAATTTGGGGAGCTGGTGACTGAGCGGACAGAACACTGGACGCGTGATCCTGTGGACCCGGGTTCGATCCCGGGCGCCAGCGAGAAACAATGGGCAGAGTTTCTTTCACCCTGATGCCCCTGTTACCTAGCAGTAAATAGGTACCTGGGAGTTAGTCAGCTGTCACAGGCTGCTTCCTGGAGGTGGAGGCCTGGTCGAGGACCGGGCCACTGGGACACTAAAAGCCCCGAAATCATCTCAAGATAGTCTTGAAAAGATCGCTTTGTAAGTTCTCTGACTGGAAGAGATTCAGTCTTCTCGGATAGTGTCAGTCAATCTGGAAGAGATTCAGCCATTCTGAAAGAGCTTCAGCTATTCTTGAAAATATCTTTGGAAAACACCACCATGAAAGCCACTAATCACATCCACTAACAGCATAGATGTAGCCACATTTATGCTACTTGTATCAGATGCATCATCACTGAACCCAGAAAATGATTCATCTATGTATCATCTACAGAGCACCACTTGGTTTTCGAATCCCTTGGGGATGAGACCTGTCAGTTATCATGTAAGTTCGTAAACGAGAAATGGATCAAAATGGAGAGAGAAAAAATTAAAAAAGAAATCTAAGGGAAAAAATTGACAGGTTGATAGCATAAATGCGACAGTACATGTATTTTGTTTGCACTCACCAATTAGAGAAGTCCTGATCCACTTCTCCCTCAGGAGAGACAGGACCAAAGAGCCAGAGCTCAACCCTACAAGCACAACTAAGTGAGTACACCCTCACTGCTGCTGCCCTTCCTTCCCCAAAGTGGCTAGCTTAGTAGATTGCCAGCCAGAGAATCTCCATCTAATACAATAACGCATTCATGAAATAAGTATTTTTCTGGGGGGAGCCCCTACGGCTCCCTGGAGATTACTAGGCCGATATGCTAATTTCAGACTTTGGCATCAGTCATGTGTATGGAGTTCTTATGGGCCTACCAGGGACCACGAGCCAGAACCTGGCCCCCTCTAGAGAGGCACGGGGAGCAATGGCCTATAGAAACCCCATGTAATTGGAAGCATTCTATGTCTGCCATCGACCGGGTTAGGCACCCAGAAAGGTAGGCGTCCCAAAACAAACCCCTATTCTGGTGAAAATTGCAAC